ATAGCATGATCCAGAATAAACTGAGGAATCTAAAGAACAAAAGATCTTTTTGACACATGACACAAAATAAGAACAAGTAAAAAAATTTTCCATTTCTACAAACATTACAGTAAAGACACTGATTACAATCGAGAACTTGACTCAAAAAAAGAAAAGGCATGATTGCTGTGATGCTACTGATAAAACTGTTCAGATCTACTTTGTCACACTACTAGAGTAGGGACAAAAAATTTTATTAGTATTGTTACTCAAAATATTGTTACCTGAGTGGTCTTCCCACATCCTGTTTCCCCAGACAAAACAACTACTTTGTTTGCTCCAATCAAATCAACAATCTTTTCCCTGGAAATAGAAACAGCATCAGGTGAACTTTCTATAAAGGTTATTGTAAACAATGAAAAATAATGTATTTATGCGACTAAGCGTAGCCGTCAATGAAGCGCCACCCTCAATATGGTAATCATTATTATTCCATGTGGATGCATTGGGTAAGAGGTGGCAAATAGCCAACACCAAGTTGGCTATAACCAATGGTAAAGTTAGAGATGCATTATCCTAGGTCAAGAATTTAATAAAACATTATTCAAGAATAATATTATTACATGTATTACAGTTATTCAAGTCTGTCTACCTGTAGTTTGCAACAGGCAACTTTTTAGTTTCCTCACTAAACCATGAATTTTTTGACTCCAACATCATCTGCCTTTGTTTGTACTCTCCCAGTAACTGTTCATTATGGTTTGCAAGTTGTTCGGGCGACAAAGCCTTCCAAGGGGACCCACTAAAAATATCCTTCACTTCCTTGGAGTTAACTGTCACATCAGTAGATGAGGAACTACTAGTTTTGCTTTGCGAACCTTCCAGCTGCGAGGTCTTTGCTGCACTTGGAGTTTCCCAGTTAGAAAAATCTGCGTCTCGAACATCAGAATCTTTCCAGAATTCTGGTGCTATTGCATCTTTGTGATCATTTTCATTTACATTACTTGCTTCTGCTTGTTTTCCACTTTCAGGATTATTAGGTTTTATTGCTGATGGCCCTTGATCTTTAGGGAACGGCTGAGGCTGAACCAACGGCTGGTTCTGATTTCTGTAGAGTTGTTGGCTTAGAACAGAATTCTTCAGTAAAAATGACTCCACCTTTGTCAGCCGATCATCATCAATATATATCCATTTGGGTTCATCCTTGCTTTGGACAGCTTCTTTCTTGATGACCATTGCTGAACTGATATTAGCCACTCCAAATCTCTATAATCACAACCAAAGGCAGTTTCATCAACAAAAGACTTGAAGTCTTTTATAAGCTGTTTCTAACGCTAAGAACAGAAGGTATGTGCTCTAGCAGCGCCTGGTCACCCCTTTCAACTTTATTTCGGCTTTGGGTGAGAACAACCAAGATCATTTTTAAGGGATGTGTGGAATAAGGCTGTAAATCACTCAGTGATTCTGTTAGCTCTGAATCCTGCACCAATAACGAAGAAAAATCCCCAAAGATACAAAAAATATTTTCACAGAATGCATCCAGTATGATTCCTCTTTCCCTTTTCTCTCTCGCTCTTCTCCCCTTTGGACTCCTGTCAAGCAGGCTACATTAAGGCTTAAACTTATAATTTAGGAACCACAGATGTTTGGACTGGGACTCACTGGTTCTGGCCTCAGTTGCCCAAAAGGTGGATAGCGCTATCCACTAGATAAATCACTATCGAACGGATAAGTGTTAGGGAAACCAATTTCACTATCCAGTGGATAGTGATTTATCCGGTGGTGGATACCTTTATCCACTCATGATTTTTCACAAAATGAGTCCCAGGACTCACCACAACTATTTGTAACAAAATCATTTGAGTGACGATTGAGTGACTCAAATACAAGATCTGCGGATATTCTCCAAGACTTGGGATGGGATACACTTGAGCAAAGATGCTCTAAGCATCTTGCAATAAGCGTTTTTCAATCTCTGAATAACTTTTACCCTGAGAGTTTAAAGAACATGTTCCAACCAACCTCCAGGATTAATTCCTAAAATGTATGAGGTGCCTTGAACAATGTTTTTGTACCTAGGCCCCATGCTGAAACTGCTAAGTGGGCTTTTAGCTATACGGGGGCAGACATGTGGAATGGCCTCGAAAATGCGCTTAAAGACTAGATTAATCTCAACTCTTTCAAGCCTGACCTCTCTATCTCTCCGGTGGATAGCGCTACCCAACGTTTGAACAACCGGCACCAGATACATAAACTGCGTAAATGGATTTTAAATGAAAGACCAGAATAACAAAATAGACTTTTACACCAAAAACAATGTCTGCCGACCAGCATTTATAATTTTAGGTCGCCCAAGTTGAACTTGAAGCACTTCAATGGCATTAAAATTACTTTTAAAGTTACTTTTTAAAGTTTTATACCTCGAGCTCAACACAAGCAATCGCTGCAACATTTTTCTCAGCCTCTTTTTTCGAGGGCCCTTCGCCATAAAACGACATTTCCCGCGGCCAGGGAATATTAACAGTGGCTTGCCATTTATCGCCCACTTCTCTACTATCAAACCTCATCGAGTTGCCTTTCATGGCACCTTGAAGAACATTATGCAGCCGTTCCTTTGCGTTGGGAAACCTCTGCGAGGCGTCAAAACCGACACAGAGATGAGCAGGCTTTTTTAACGGAGTATTATGACGGGCGCCAGCCACTGGCGCTCTCCTCGGCGGTTTCACATCTTGGAGAGGACCACCACCAATAACAAAATCAGAGGAAAATGGCGCCCTAGGTTGGCCAACAAAACGAGGTGAAGGAGAACGCATCAATGGAGGGGGAGGTCTTCCGTGAGAAGGTGGAAATCGCGGCGGAGGTCCTCTTGGACGATAAAATCCTCTGGAGTGCGCCATTTTGAATTTTGGAGATGTCCCGCGCAAGCGCAGCGAGTACGTTCAAGAGTCACGCTTAGTCACGCAATTAGATCAATATGTCACAAAAAGCACATAGTCCTCTTAGTAAGTAAAATAACTGTGGCAGATCTCAAAAAGAGTACTAATGCAAAAGTGAATGTTGAGCTGGCATTACCGAATGGATTAATAAACGTATCATCAAATTAAAATGGCACAAAATAATGGTATTAAGTAATCAATAGCACCATGGAGGGCTTGCTAACAGGCTACTCAGTTTTTGATTGGCTAAACCTAGTGTACCACGTTGAGTGACATCCGGAAAATTGCAAAGATAGCTGTTTGTAAAATAAGTTTATCTGCAGAATATAATGAGAATGTAACCTGTTGCATGACCTCAATTTTTGGCACTCAGGTCTCCCGGGGAATCCCCCTGGAATAATTCTCATACAAAGAAAGAGATACCCTTGAATCTTGTCGTCTTTCTCTTTATGAAATGAAACCATGTTAAAGAAGCCCTTCAGTAGCTCTTTCCTATAAAAAAATAGAATTTGAACGTAGTGACCTTTATTGGTGTGTGTGTGTGTGTGTGTTTGTGATCGCCAAAGGATGTGGTTTTGACACCTCATTGATCTGAAAAATTGTTACTGATTTTGATTGGATTTTCTGATGCAGTTCAACTCTGAAATTACATATAGCAGGGAAAATCATACAATTTGGTTTCTGCCCATATGATAGCCCCTGTAGCTGGCGGGATTGTTGTACCAGGGGTACGCGAAGAGAGCAGCAACACCGCAAGGGATTTTCCTCATAAGGGGAGAAGATAATTAAGTATTTATTTATTTATTATTTTACTTATATAAGGGTACTAGTGGATTATTTACTTAAACTTAAAATACTTTCTGAGCAATTCAATACCTAAAAAAATAGTTTATTAGCCTTGATTATACATATACATATAATTTATTTTTATTCTAAAAATCAATGATAAATAAATGACCTGTCCCTTATTCTGTTCCAGTGCAAAAACACAAAGACAAGGCAAGACTAGGGTGGACAATTTCGTACAAATCGCTACATTTTGTCACCTGAGCCTCAAGTTTGTGCCTTGGTTCACAGGAATGGGGGACAGTCTGTTATTCTTTTATGATAAGATTTCTCTGTTTTCTCTTGTAAATCATGAATGTATTGATCATCAAGTTTCACAGTCAGGCATAGAATGCACAACAAATGTACTTTTTTTGGCAGAACACTTAGTTCTAAGAGCAGTGCTGTCACCAAGAGGCAGAGGCCGGGGATTTTCCCTGGGTACTATGGACGTGGGCCCCGGCTACTTTCAAGGGAAATAGAAGAAAAATAGAACCAAAAGAAACCTGTTGCTGTTTGATTCCCTGCCTACATGTTGTATTTACCCGGCAACTTGAACTCTTAGTGACAACCCTGTGAGAGGTAAGGGTTACTGGTGGATATCAGGGCTACAATTTTCTGTGCGACAACATCACTATTAATATTTTTAGTCAAACAAACCAGGTGGCATAGGTAACACTGACTTTCAATTTTTTTAAATACTATTAAATCTTTCAACTTTATAATGAGTCATTAGTATTTGATCTGTCCAGACATCATGTCTGATCACAATTAGGATTTTGCTGGACATTGTCCAATGACCGACTGTTGTGAATTCGGATCATAATACATTTCTGGGAAACAGCCCACCTACCCCTCCCCTAAGCCAACATTTTGCCCTAAGTGAGAAGTAAGTGTCGATGTTGGCTTAGTGGAGGGGTAGGTGGGCAGTTTGCCAGAAACATATGATGATCCAGAATTTTACAGCTCAAGCATTACATTGAAAATGTGTTGTAGAAAAAAACACAGTAACCTTGACCTCTTAAACACTCCCCTAAAATGCAGTGCATAATTCTACGTATGAAAGTGATACTCAACTGTAACTGATCTCGCTATCAAAATTATGATCTTATGACAGCTTTCTTGTCAAAGCCACTGATCATACACTGTTCCTATTAAGTCATTATGGGGACAACCTTGTCAAGATAAAAACTCTTAAAAAACTACACTTGCAAGCTTATTATCACATGGAATGCCCTACTCACTGTACTTACATTTCAGGTAAGCAAGCCGCATTCACTTTTGTAAACAATAAAAACTTTTTTGATACATTTGTGGCACAATAGAACCTACAGTGTTAGCTAAAAAAGTCATAAATGAATTATTCTTTGTGAGAGGATTACTCATGTCAACTAATAACTTACTAAGAACTGCTTAAAAACTTTTACAGAGCCTTGGATGAACTTTCAGTGTATGATCCTTTAACTGGTTTAGATATGTCAAATTTTGCCAACATGGGATCTAGTCTTGTAAGTCTTGGCAATCGACACAGTTGGTCATGACAGATTCCTGGTACAGTTCCACTTGTATGGTGCTGTGGAAAATGCGAAACTCATTCTTCAACTTCTGGTTTGCTATGTTGAGAACTTTCTGAGAGTCATGCCCTTGTTCTGAAATTGTAACAAGATAACAAGAGTATATTTCAAAACACTGTGGAAAGCAATATTATTTTGTCCAAGTCAAGGCATGAAAAATCCACAGTAATAAATGGTTGAATCCATGACATATACAAAGCAGTAAAACAGAATAACACCAGGCACTACTTAATAATAATAATAATAATAATAATAATTGTTGTTTTTTTGTGCATTTTAACATTAAAAGATTTGATCAAATACACATAACACTCGAATAAGACTTAAACAAAAGTTATATTACATACTCTCTATATACTAAAGCTTGATCATTTGTTACATTTCCTTCCTAAAAAGTAATTTAGCGTAACTCATAACAAGTAAGAAGTAAAAAGAGAGAATAAAAGTGGAAAAAAATAATCTACAATAGCTCATGACAGGTCGCTATAGGCCTCTTTAACATAGTGCGTCTTAATGAGTCTCTTAACCTTATGCTCAGTAAAACAGTTCAAATTGAATATCGTGAAACTTAACCCTCAACCCACTCTTAATCCCTCTCCTTATGATTTGCTGGTGAGAGCCTGAATTTCAGCTGTCTCTAATTGCAAACATCTCAATAACCTAGCCACTAATGCTGTCTGGTGATGTCTCTACCAGAAAAATGGGTTACAGTAGTGATTTTGGTTGGTTGATTATTGAAACATTCACATAAATATACAAAATTGTGAGATATTCAAGTGGGACTGTTATTTGGTATTGAAAGGATTGCATGCGCGTGTGGTAATTTGGAAATGCCCTATTCCCCAACAATAATAAATTATTATTGAAATTTACTAAACTACCCCCTTAACACAATAATTTCTCATTGGTACTCAGATACCTATGGCCAGATGTACAGCCAAAGCTGCCTTGTTGACTGTTAGAGACCAGATGTGTAAACTATGTGCAGCGACAACACCTTCGATGCTCTCCAGTGACATCTTGACAGAGTTATACTTGATGTCTTTTGGTGTCCCTAATCGCAAAAAGAAATGAAATAATGTTAATAAAATTGCTGTAATTGACAATTCAGATGAACTTAAGTTTTGTCGACTATCAAAAAATACCCCATACTAATTTTCACAAAGAAACCAGTATTTAATAAATAAATACAATAAGTCCACGGAATAAACTCCTGATCTAGTATTGAATTCTCCTTACGATTCACAAGCATATACAAGGGAAATGGTGCGGAGAATAAGCAGTTAATCAGAATTTCACTGACACCTATCCAATAACATCCCCTGGCCTACTTGTTTCCTTTTTGATTTGTTTTTTAATGTAACTAAGCCCAGAATCATCTTACAGGCAAGATGCTGCAAACTAAGCTTACCAAATGCTACTGTAGGGTGCTTAAGAAACAACAACAACAATGGCAATGAGAACGGCAAAAAAAAAAAATAGGTTTAGATTGGCAAAACAAACACTGCGTAAAGTCATTGCATGAACACAACGTGAAAGCGCCTAATTTCACGTTTTGTGGAGTTTATGACCACAAGGCAACAACTATCTTTCTTTTTTTTGAACTTCAATATAGTTACTTAGAATTCAGCACCTGAAAAATTGCCCGACAAGTGTTTTAGTAGGCATTGCCAACGTTGTTGCTTAAGCTCCGTACTAATGTCAAACCTAGGCATAATGAAGTCAGAGTAAGAGGATATTCACTACTATTAAGTTTAAAGCAATAATTAGATACATGTATATACAGAAAAGGTGATAAAGGCTGTACCCTAAGAAAAACTGAAGCAAGCCCAGTGCTTTAAACCTGTGTTACGCACAGTGCCTATAATATGATTTCTATGAAAAAAAAAAACTAAGATTTTCCAGTCGCCCTGGAGCAACACTTAGGTGCCAGGGGCCATTGGGCCCTGCTAGAGCACAGCTGTCATGGTGATACATTATTTTGTCATCTCCTACCTTCCATAAGGACATGAATCGTCTCCTTAAGTATGTTCAATGTAGTTATAAGAACCACCAAAGAGAAGACAAATGTACAAATTGGATCAGCAAGCTTCCACTCTGGCTGTTGAATACAACAACAGAAAAGCATTTAGGACAATGTCAAGAGCTGTTTATGAAAAATCAGTTAACTTTGTATCTGCCAACCTTTCTAGAGTCAAAGACAACCAAGAGAGTTTTATCTCAAGAGAACCACTGGGGATTCCACACAGAGGTCCAGTTGATCAAAGAAGCCTAGAGATTTCCAAAGATTTTCCGAGGCAGGGCTGTCACTAAGGGCCAGGGGTCGGGGATTTTCCCCAGCTACTGGGAGCAGGAGCCCCTGCTACTTTCATAGGAAACAAACTTGGAAAGAGAACCAAAAGAACTTCCTAGCTGTACATTACCCCTACTACTAATAAATGCTTAAACCCGGCAATTTGAAATGTTAGCGACAACCCTGCAAGGCTTTGTGAAAACCCTCCAAAGAGTTGCAAAGTTCTTAGTTCCAGTGCTTTCAAAGCACAGTCACTCATATGGACTTTGTTTTCTTGCATTGTTTCGAGTTTATTCGCTTTTTGGGCTGAACTGGTAACCTGATGACAACTACCAAAAATCTGGAACAATCCTCTGAGTTCACTAAGCCAGTGCAGTGTCTTGACACACTGAAGACATTGAGGGTATTCTAAATGAATGCCCTACTGCTACCAATAGCTTAAAAAACCCTGTGCAATTTTCAAAATTCTAACTTATTATTACTCCGTAATCTTATAATAACGTCAAAAGATTAAACTGCATATTATATACAAGTAACCTGTATATTTTTACAAGGGATACTACACTTGTAATGATTATTTAAACATCAGAACAAACCTTGTGTACTGTACTTAAGTAAAAGAGTTCATAAGGTGTCACAATCAACCTCCACCCTAAAAACACTACATTCTCTGAATTACCTTAAATTTAATAATGTAGGCTGCAATAAGAACACCAACACTTTGTACAATGTCTCCTAAAACATGTATAAATGCTGCTCGCACATTGATGTTCTGTTTTTCTGAATGACGCAGGCTGTTGCTTCTGGATATTCTTCTAATAGATTCTTCCTTGTTGCTACTGTGGCTGTGGCCGTGGCCGTGACTACTACCCATCCCATGGCTGTGATTATGTCCCATTCCTGTCTGGTGGAGAATTATGCCAAGCCTGCAACAGTGAGAACAAAGTATTCAAAAATACTGAAACTCAAGTCAACAGACAATATTCACAATTTATATACACACTATCTTTGCATGCAGTTTGGAATTGATGGAATAAAAGCCATGTCACGCGGTATTTCAGGGGGCAAGTAAGTAATAAAAGTTGCCAATACAAGTAATAATTACAGTCAAGCTTATTTGTTCTCTCAAAATGAAACAAAGAGTAAATAGTCACACAAAAAAAGAAAAAAAATTGTTGTCTTGTGTTCACGACCTCAATGAACCGTGAAATTAGGAAGTTTCACATTGCAGTCGTGCAACAACTGCAAAGAAATGTACAAAAAAACATGATGCACGTGCAAAGTTGTTGTTTTGCCAATCTACATGTACACCTATTGCTTTTTTTGCCATTCTAGTTTCTGTTACCGTCGTAATTGCTTATGCTCCTTATCAACCCTCCAAGTTGAGACCATTTTAGTCTCCATGGTGCCTAAAATTTTGAAGCTGGCAACTTGATTTGTAAAAAAGTCTCCCTAAACAAAAAGAATTGGTCGCCAAATGGCGACCAAGCAAAAACTTTAACTTGGATGGTTGCTTATTTACAGATACCAGATGTACATCTCTCATAGGTGACTGAAAGGTTACTTACAAGATGTTTACCCCAAGACCAATTCCTGCAGTGATGAGCATGATGTCGGCATTTATATCAAAATCTTGTGTTATAACTCTCTGCACAGCAAGATAAACCAGGACTCCTGTCAATACCCAGATGATAAGTACTGATACTAAAGCACCAAGAACCTCTGAAAACAGTGAAAGAAAAAATGTGTCAGAAAAATTGTTCACAAAGGTATTAATAGAGCGTTTTCACTCAAATGGCCAGCATCTGTGCAAATTTATTGGAGCAAAAGAAATAAAAGCATTTGCATAAGAAAAGAGTTCAACTCCCAGAGGACTGGTTTGGGACACCAACATGGCGGCCATTTCATTGTTTTGGCACACCAATATGGCCGCCGTGACATCATGTGAAAACACTCGATAAAAGTAGAAAGTTAACAAGATGTAATAGTCATAACATAGTCATAAATACCACGAGTGATATTTCAAAATTGTAAAATGTAATTTCACGAGCAATTAGGCAAGTGAAATTTGAGACAATTTTGAAATATCACAAGTGGTATATATGCCAAATATCATATACAAATCATGCTATTACCTATACTAATACCCAGGAGGAATTGGAAACAATGGTTATGCAAAATTTGGAGGAGTAAACAAGCTGCATTATGGTCTATGTGAAAATGGCAAATTAAGCGGCCACTTTCAGCAAGTGGCTGCAGCCATCTTTTGGCCATCCTGTTGAGAGTTCTTCCATTGTTGTAACCTTTATTAAGGGGCTATCAAGCACTTGATACACCTAGATTGGCTTTCTGGTGAAGGAAAATACAGTCCGAGGTGGCAGGAGACGATTGATTGTGGACCAGTAGTGCTGCTCCCATCATGTGTTTATTTCAAAATAAAAGTGCCGTTATGTTACTGCAATTTATTACAAACCCCTAATAAGCAGCCATGTCCAATAAGTGGCCACTTCTAGGTACCCCAATGGTGGCCGCTTGATGGGGGTCCAACTGGCAGTATTTATTGGCCAGTGAAAACAGTCATTTCCCCTCACTCCTCACCCCTGGGGAGGTTTTGTGAGGAAGAACATCTGCGACCTAGCGACAGAAATTCCATAAGGATGACGTAAAATCTGTCTGGAATCAGGTCAGAAGCACTGATTGGTCGATGGAGTAGTTACATTGTTTTAGCTATTGTATACGAATGACAGACAAATGACAAAAGGCCACAAAGGTCAAATGTAAATGCAATGAATCTCTGACAAAATAGTCAATATTTATGGAATACAGTTTTCGCTAGAAGAAGCAATTAAGTTTTGCTGGACCTTATTCCCAAATGAACACAACACTTAACCAAAATCGACCTAGAGAAATGTAAAATTGAACAAATTTGCATTTGGAACCCTACGACTACCAGATTTATCATGATTTACATTGATTTACGTCATCAGTATGCAATTTCTGCCCCTGAGATGCAGATGTTCCTCCACGCAAAACATCCCAGCAGTGCACAGCGAGGAAAAACAGCTGTTTTTCGCAGACGAAGTATGTATATAAATTTCAATATACCTGCTCTGTAGTAGCCAAATGTTCTCTTCTTATCCGGAAGCCAATGTGCCACCCAAATAGCAAAAAGACTTATAAGAAATGCAGCAAAATCTGACAACATGTGAGCAGCATCTGTCATGATAGCCAGACTACCAGCCAGCAGGCCACCTGTATGAAACACAACAAGAAAATCAACAGGCTAGTAATATCCTTATGATCCTCTCATATCCACTTTCATATCTTTATCCACAGTTCAAAATATGAACTTCATTTCATATATTTCCATTCATGTCATTTCCACCATCGGGTTTAAAACAAACTCAACATGGCCTGCTCTCCAGTTGGCTTGATTGGCTCAATGGAGAGGGTGCGTTGTGTCCATTCGTTTTCAGCCACTTAGGGGGTTGATTATTCTACTGAGAAAATCATATCCACTTTCACAGTAATGCATTGATTACATATGTACTAATCTTGTTAGTATCGTTAGTATGTTTTTACTGATTGTTAAGAACAGTTTTGTTTTGTCTTTGTTGTTGTTCTGAGTATTACATCTTTTACTTTGGTTGATACCTATGACAGTTTCAATGCTATGAATATTTTAATACATATATATCTTATAGTCAAGCAGTATGAGGCAGGTATGTGTATCTGTCTTTTTTCTTTTCTGATCATTGTATAAAACAAATAGATTCCATGTTACCGTGGGTCTGTTAAGTAACAGATCACAGAGGATGTCAAAATGAGGTAAAAACGTTAGTGACACACTCACCCGTGGCTCGTCTGCCACTTCTTTGTTTTTACCACATTTTGACGTCATCTGTGATCTATTAGGGACCTTACGCAGGGATGATGACGACGGCAGTGAAAACGTCAGTAAAAAAATGAGTTTGCATTCTTTCAGACTTAAACACGTCTATCTGGACCCCCTCAATATGTCAAATGCAGGCGACTTTTCCTGGAGTTGAATTCTTAAGGATTTTATTCAGGTTCAAAAAGAGGAAGGAAAATTCATCTGCGTATGTCCATGTTCCCCATAAAACGTCCAGTTAGGAGGTTTCACGTCGTAGTCGTGCAATAGATGTCAAAGAAATGTACTACGCTGTAGTTGCCTAAGCTCCCTATTACTGCACAGACGCACAGCAACATGGAATCTATTTGTTTAACTGATGTATTAAATTCACTATCAATAGCTCCAGGTCTATCATTTTCCGGGTACTGATTAAACATCAGAGACATTTTAATGTCATACATCAATTTATTTTCTTCCGGTTGTCAAAACGATCCTTTGCAACCTGACACAAATTCGCCGTGTTTACGATAAATGAAACAATAAAGAGCTAGGAAAAAGTAAAGCTGATCACATGTACGTTCGATCACTAAAGCATACAAGAGGCATCAAATTTTACATTAGTGAATTTTTCCTTTTAATTCGATCACTCTTTGGATGATATTTACTATCCAAAACTTAAATGAGCTTCAGCTTCCATGTCCTCTTCTATTTTTAACCATGATCTGACATTTGGCTGGGCAAGTTTTAATACCGGAACAGCTTTTCAGTGGAGAAATATTTCTTAGGCGCGATATTGCGCAAAACAATTCTGAGCTTCAACAAATGAGGCATACGAGAAATGTGCTGTTTTGATATTTGTTGGTTAAGCTTGTTCGATAAGAAGAAAATTAAATTCAGAGTATGCTGGGCTGTCCTGAAGTCTCATACCTCCGTAGTTGACTACTGATCGGATTACTCTGATCTACAAATCTTACCTACAGCTTCAGCGATCACAAAGAGAAGGCAAACAAAGCTAGCAACCACTAGTTTCCTCCTTGCTTTTGCGTTTGAATAGATAGGCTTTGCTTCGTGACAATGAATGTCCGTCAGATAATTGTCGCTTCCATCAGAATGATTCTGGCACGATATGAGAGGAGAGTCTTCATCATCGAAGTATGGCGTCTCGTCGCAAGCGCACCGTGTAAGACTGCTAGAATGAACGCAAGGCGATCTTCGATTAAGAACTGGAAATGTATCTTCTTCATCTGTATTTATACTAGTCATCCTAGGGGCTTCGTTTACTTCGATTTCGCAGGCAACAGGAAAACTCGCTCCTCCGTTAATCGACTCAACCAGTTCCATTCTCGTTCCCAGAGCTTCGAGCTTTTGGCTCAGACGGCAGCTCTGGCAGCTGCTCTGGGACCTAGAATGAAATGAACCAGCACGCAACCGCTCGCAACCTGCTTTGTTTCCCGGCTTTTGCAAAACTCTTGCATAACTCTTGCAAGCTCTTGCATTATGCAGTTTTCTTGTGCGCATGCCTGGGCGGCAAAAATTATGGGTCAATTTGGAACAAGGATCAGCGACTACGGAGAATGGATTTGTGAGCTTAAGAATCGAAAATTAAAAAAATCTCCGACTTGTGACATTCCACTTTCAACTATTGTTTTACTGTAATGCGATTATAGGACTATTTTGAAAACTACCTGAATTTGCGATTTTTAGCCTCTGCAAGGGAACATACCTTTTGTTCCATTGACAGGGTGGGGTATGTACACAAATTTTTGGTGCAAGGCCAATGGTGGTGGTTTTTTTTTTCTTTGAATCTGCTGGTTAACAAATGGAAATTTGATAACCCATAACAAAAAAGATTCGATAAAATCAGCCCCGTGAAAACGATTTGGGAAATAGTTTGCGTTGATTAATTTGGAAAACTATGCTTACTTCTGGAAGAATTCTAGCTCACCTATCAAATTTCATTACCAACATAAACTCCACACGAGAATGTTGTTCTTCGTTCCAAATCTGGTCACCTGTTTTTTTTTTTTTTTTTTATCTGAAATAATTCATCGATCCTCTCCTGCCCTTCTCTCAAAAGGGTGATCCATCAGCCATTTTTCTTTAGCCTTTGGAACCTGGAACAGGCTTTTCTTCTTTTTGCCCTGGGCAATGCAGTAAAAATGAAGTCAGTCTTCTCGAACTTTCTTTCTTCCCAATTCTTAAGTCTGTACCTACCTGAATTTTCTTATCCCCCAAATCCCAAAAATGTGTGATCCCATTCTGAAAACTCTAATGAAAATGAAACCCTATCAAGTGGCACATCCCCATTAGGCTATTACTGCGAAGTACCACCTCCCCCCGGTGTGAATACAATGGTTGAATGAAGGGGAGCTGGCAGTGGCCTTTGGGAGTTGCTTCTTTTCAGCTTTCCAAGATCGCCGCAGTTAAGAAATCTGTCAATCATGTGAGAACTGAAAGTACCACTCTCTCCCCCCATCCCTCGGTTGAATGACTTGAATCAATGAAACAACCCTTCCAGCAAATTCAACTCAAGGGTGTAGGGTGGAAAAAAATGAAGTTCCCTTTACCTTCCCCAACCTCATGTGACGTTTACACCCAAGTTGACATCTTGCTTAAAGCTAGGACGAACCAGAAAGGGACCAGCTTATCTGAGGTCCAGACCATGCTTTTGGGGCAAAATTTTAAATAAGAAAGAGAGAAAAGAACCTTGAACAATTTATTGACCTCTTTCTGAGATTCACTAGCTTTTGAGGCAGATATGAAAGCTATTTGAGGTAGGCAGCCATCTGAGATCATATTCTCACAAGCATTAAATATGAGTCAGGGCAAAGTAGGAAGTCACTGAAACATTAAAATAGTTTTGTTTCTTGCTAGAGGTTTAGCCAGGCAAAAGCTATGAAATAAATCCAGAGAAAGTGTTCACCTCTGCTTTAGTCAATTTAGCTCTCAAAGCATAAAATTACAGCCTTGCTCATACACTGAAGAATCGAAGAAGGACTTACGTTTATCCGATGACAAACTTACTGTTACAGAAAATTTTTTTAAATTTTAAGAGTTCTCAGCGGAAATTTTCAGACCATAAAATATACTGCACTTGCTTGCTACAACCCTTAAGCTTTTTTCTTCATCGTTTACGTTCTGAATTTTCGCAGTATCTCAGGTATAGGCCACTGATAGTCCCTTTCATTTCTTTCTTTCCGGAACTCGGAAGTTTTTTCTCTCACTTCTGCCAGGCAGTGTCCACATAGATGATTAGCAAGCTTGTGATTTCCACATACAACGCAAGTCTCGATATCGGATCTGTTTTTCAGCCACTTGTGCCGATTTCGAAGCTTCTTTTTGGAAGCCGAAGTCCTCTTTTTAGGAACCGCCATTAATAAGAATCCATCATCTTTGCTTTCACTCAATCCAGTGGATTGGCATGATTCAATATTTGTTACTAAGGCAGTACTTGGATTTATTCCTTCGTAGATAAGCCTCAGATTGTAAGTAAGTTGCTCTTCTAACGCAAGGAAAGTTCTACAAAACGTTCGACTCAACCAAGTCAACGAGGTCGCCATATTGGTTTACCAGTTGGAGACTGGGACCAACCTCAACCCAGTGACTCCTCGGCATTTTTAAAATAAAGGCACAGAAAGACATTGCAAAATTTACATTAAGCAGTTATGTGTTTGAAAAATTTATAAATAGAGTTCTTTTTTATGTTATGAATCTGATGAGCATATAAAACAGATGAAATAAATTTTTTTCGAACATCACAAAAGTGGGGCCCCACTCACTTAGCAGTCCCTTTTCTCTGTTGCACTCACTTGTTACGGGGGATGGCGTACTCAGCCTGCGTCATAAATTCGGTAGCGCATTCCTTTCGTATTTTTCTTGGGAGTAAAAAATTCCCTTGTTATTTGTAGACATATTAAATTCTGCAAGCAGAATACTGCAATGCTGATCGTACTACGTGAAAATTAATTCTGCGGTCCTTTGCAGTCCTTTGTGGTTAATGTTTGTACTTTATGTATTCTGGGGCCGTAGATCTTTTATAGATCCGATATGCCGTAATTTTTGCTTGGTTTTGTCCATGTTCCAATTTTTTATTTTCTCTGCGAGACATCAACTTAACACTTGGACTCTTGCCCCCCAGAAGACACGTGGTGTGGCGTGATTCTGTGGGTGTTGAGGGTTCTAGGTCAGGGCTTTAATCAGAATGCGCAGATATTTTTCATCAGAGTTTTCTCTGGTTGTTACGCCATACTGACGAGCCCCAAAGAGGGCGAAACAGCTGTCTATGGCTACAATCCCGCTCTGTTTTGAGTTCTTTCGGTGTCGTGTTGATGTCTTGCAGAGTTAATTTTCACGTAGTACGATCAGAATTGCAGTATTCTGCTTGCAGAATTTAATATGTCTACTTTTCATTTTTGCTAATCAGGTCTTTATAGATCCTACGTTCTTCGGCATATTCGTTTGCGGTCCTTTGCAGTCCTTTGTGGTTAATGTTTGTACCTTGTTATTTGGGCGGTGCCCAAATAGAGTATCAAGATCACTTGTTTTGATTCAAAGTTGCAACAGGCACGCAATACGTGCGAACGTAAACAAGCTAAGTAAACAAGCTAAAAGCCTGAGATCATGCCCTCTCCCTATTATCCCTTTATCTCGAGCCAAAGAAACAAAGAAGCAAAAAAAAAAATAATAATAACGCCTGATATCAGGTTAACAAGCCAAGCGACGCAAAAGTCTGCCGCGGGATATGCCACGACACAGCATTTATCCTCGTTACAATATGTCCCACAGCTAATGCACGGTAAGCAGATCAGAAATAGAAAACAAACGTATTGAAGAAACAAGGTACGGACCATTAGAAAAGTGATGGGGGGTGGTGGGGAATTTTCAGCTTGCTTGTTGCTTATTGCTTTTTTATGAACAATGAAATCTTGATTCATTATCTATGTTTTTATGCTTTATAAATTATTCTACACTCACAACTGTACAAGGCCGTTGTTATGGAAGAGATATATCGATGAAGTGTTTTCCTATGGGACACTAATAGAGAGGAAATTAACAACTTAATTGAGCATGCAAATAACTATTACCGTACAATAAAATTCACTGCTGATATTTCTGATAAAGAAATCATCTTTCTTGATACATGCATCTACAAAGGAGCAAGATTTGAAAAGGAATCTATCCTTGACACGCGTACTTATTTCAAGCCTACTGAGACATTCCAGTACACGCGCTTTAAATCCTGTCACCCATCCGGAGCCAAAAAGGCTTCGTAAAAGTTGAAGGCCTGAGACTTCTAAGAACTAACTCTTCAGAGGAGACTTTCGCAGAAAACATAAGAATATTCAAACTACGCCTTCGAGCGAGAGGCTACCCGAACAACCTTATAGACAAAACACTCTCGGAAGTAAAAGTCTCTGACAGAAAGAAAGCTCTCAAGGATAATACAAGAGTGTAAAAAGAAATATTGCCCTTTGTAACCCAATACAACCCATCTGTTCCTAACCTTAAACACATTTTAATAGAGAAATGGCATCTTATAGAATCACAACCTAAACATAAAGAAATGTTTAAAGAACCTCCTATTATTTCTTATAAGAGAGGCATTTCATTCAGAGATATACTGGTTAGAGCCAAACTGTAGTTAATCTCTTTAACACTACGTGTGGATAAGTAATTACATTCATGCGACACGCTTGCGGGATCTGTGAATGGCCTGTCACTATTTATTTACCATACAGTATACAGTAAGTTGTAGGTACACTAGCTGCAATTTAAAACAAAAGCAAGGTTCTAGTTGTCTCCTTTCAATAAGAAGAGAGTGATTTTTGTTTTTTCATATTGTGCCTGGTAATATTGTTGATTTTGATTTCTGAAACTCAGACTTTCTGAAAAAGTCACGATTGGACCTTCGTTCTGCATGAATTTTTTTTCTTGGCATTTTCCCTTGCATGAATTTTTTTTTTGGTTTTTTCCGCAAGCCCCCCCCCCCCCCATCACTTTTTCAATGGTCCGTCCCGTACGCCGAGTGATACAAAGGATAAATAATTTAAATTTTACCTCTGGAAAATAATAGTCCTCGCAGCACACAGCGTGAGTGTTCAACACCGGGCCATAGGTACCGGTCATTGCCCTTTTTTATTCTACAGGCTTTTTCATTGCCAGCCATGGCTTATTACCAAGAGTTCGACAACCTGTGTTCCCTTGTGTTCCCTTGTGTCGACTTGTGTCACCTGTGTCCCCTGTGTCCCTTGTGTCCCCTGTGTCCCTTGTGTCTCCTGTGTCCCCTTGTGTCCTCCTGTTTCCCCTGTGTCCCCTATGTGCCTTGTGTTCCCCTGTGTCCCTTGTGTCCCCCTGTGTCCCTTGTCTCCCCCTGTGTCCCTTGTGTCCCCTGTGTCCCCTGTGTCCCCTGTGTCCCCCTGTGTTCCCTATGTCCGCTTGTGTTCTCTTGTGTCCCTTGTGTCCCCCTGTGTCCCCTGGTGTCCCCTGTGTCCCCCTGTGTGCCCTGTGGCCCCATGCCCCCCCCGTGTCCAATGTACCCCTTTTGACTCCTGTGTCTCCTTGTGTTCTCTTGTGTCCCCTAATGTCCCCTGTGTCCCCTTGTGTCCTCCTGTTTCCACTGTAATTCCTGTGTCCTTTGTGTCCCCTGTGTCCTCTTTTGTCTCCTTGTGTTCCTTGTGTCCCTTGTTTCAAATGTGTCCCATGTGTCCCTTGTGTCCCCTGTCTCCTCTTGTGCCCCTTGTGTCCCCTTGTGTCCCCTTTTCCATTTTAACAAAATGAAATGTTCGGCGGCGCTGCCCTTGTCTCTCATATGGCGCGAAAACTTTGATGGGTTTCATTGCTGTCATGTGACAACATGAGGGGTTTTTTGACGCACGCTCAGGAGGTCAAAGGATGTGATTTTTCATGAAAATAAGAAATCAAAACACAAAGTTCTGTTCCAGTTCTTTAGAAAATAGTTTGTTCAATTTTTAATAATCAACTAACAGCTTACTGATTTATTAATTTGGGCGACCAACGTGGAGGCCAGGGCACCCCAACAAAGGAACCCTTGTGTGTATCTCATCTTCGAGTGTATTTAACAGAACATCTACGTCTCTCCTACACACATTTGTTGTTGAAACACGGCTCAACTTTCCAATGCCATTCAACATAATTCTTACTTACACCAACACATCCCGCGTAAGCGCCTTCAGGCGTCTTCTTGCTTTGTATTCAAAACAGAAGCCCATAGTCCCATAACCCGTAGAGTGCAATCCCATACTTAGCTTATATATGCATCGGCGTTTTCACAGTTCCGTATAATTCTATCGAATTCTATCATCATTTTGGAGAACTTTTCCGGCGAAAATTGAAGAGCCGCATGCTTTGTATTGTACATTTTCACATCTGTCATATTGGAAATGAAAGAAGGACAAAAAGGTGCTATCAGAACATCAGAGAATCTATTTTCTGGTGTCCACCTTCTTGCTGACTCATTTGTAAGGCTTATTAGTCGAAATTCCCTCATGGACTGTCGGGATTGTTTCCAGAATCCAGATCAGAATTCTTGGATAACATGGAAAACTAGAAGATATTCAGTAATTTTCCTCTAGTGTTATTTTATAAGCGCCCACGAGCAAAGGAACAGGTTTTACTCTGTGAAAGCCCATGTCAGAATCTTCTGAAACACTCCATTTTCTGGAGAAGGCACGCACAGTAGAAATGTGTGACCAATTAATTACTCAGGATCTTCTCTCAAGCAAAATGAGTTATAAGCACCCTAGTCTCTATCAACAGCACTATTCCGGACTACACCCGAACGATGTAGGCTGAAACCTTTAGTCTGTAACAACAATATAGTTTAAAAAAGTTCAGTATGAAGTTAACTAAATTTCTTGATTTAAAAATTATCAGTTTTTTTACTTCCACGAAGTTTTTAATAATATTTAGTCAATCACTGAAGAGTTGTGCGGACCTCTGCATTCAAAGGTTCTTTAAAAATATGTTTTCTCGATACCAGGCCATTTAAGGCAAAGACAACCAACTTATTTAACCAGGTTAAGAATTGTGGAGAGACATTTGGAAACATGTAACGTTTTCTAACTGCAAAGTCTGTTCAATGAAATTCTATATGAGAACGAGACCATCCACATAAAAAATTTCGAAACCCCACCTCTTTTTTCCTATTATTTCCTGTCCTCATTGTTCACCTGCAACACACTACTAGGTGTATTGCGGGGCTCCTGGTGTAAGGGGACACTATATACCTTGTTTTCAGTTATTTCGGCAAATTAACTTTTTCATCTCGTCAATCTGTCACTTAATAATCAAAAATACTTTGGCTTCTTTTTAGAAAGAATTTGAGAAAAAAATGTAAGATCTGATTTTAACCTGATTATGAGAAAAAGTTAATTCTAATTTAACATTCAGCTTTGAAGCAAAAAATACTAAAACTGACGAAGAACAGGCCGTCTCCAGCTATTTCCCCGCCTTTTTACTTTCTATATTTTAATTACCAATTCACTTGTTTTGCTTTCAGAAGAAGCTAGTTCGGATTTCATCAACCTCTCCTCCACGGCTTTTCACTCAGAAATTGGAAGGGGCCCTGAAACACTGTGACAAAACGCGCTGACTGACCCTGGTCGTTTCTTTTCATTTGAAGGTGGTCACAGAACCGTTGCCGGAGACTATCACGGGGGACGATGAAGAGAGACAAGAGAGACTATTAGGAACGAGTCAGGTGACAGTATTGCTGCCCTTCCCAGTTTCTAAGAGAATAGCCCCTGCCCTGCGAGCAAGCTCTCCGGGGCGCTCTGGCGGCGGGGCGGGGCGGGAAAAGGAAGGAGAGCTTGTAACTACGTACTCTCTCTACTCTCTCTCCAATTCCCCTGTGGCTTCCCGTCGACTGAGCTGCCAGATTCCGCCAATCAGCGCAAAGTGGGAAAGAGCGCAAATGTAAACAAACATTGAAAAACACGAGAAAGCACGCGCCAAGGGTAATGACATCATTACTAATGTCATCTCCGCCAATCAGCTTTTCGCATCGACTTTTTCGACGCAGATATTCAAATTCCAGAGACGTAGTTGCAAGCTCTTCTTCCTTTTCCCGCCCCGCCGCCAGAGCGCCCCGGAGAGCTTGCTCAGGCTAGTTTGCCCCCTGAGAAACCACGTGACATTGCTTTTATCCCATCAGACCTCGAGCGCGCGCAAAGTTGGTGTGTAACGTGATTCAAATGATAATTGCGCCAAGCAAGCAATAAATTATTATTATTAATTATTGTAAGGTCTAATGGCTGTATTTGATGTTAACTTGTTGTGCTTCTAGGCTGGATATGCCTTCCAACAACTCCAAAGTTAGGTTCCGCTGCGTTGCTATGAGAAAATAACCCTGGCATAACAGGAGCTACAACAGAAGGCGGGGAATCAGTATCAGGACTATTGTCGGGGCTGTGTTTGGCTTTAGATGTCACGTCCAATAGATTCGGCCTCGCGCCGTTAATCATCCGCTCGTCGGGGCCGAGGATTTTTTGAAGAATTGCGAATAAAATTAAAACGACTAAACTGGCTACTCCGTATAATCTGAAGGTTACATTTGTGCCAAATTCGTGGATCAGCACACCTCCTAGTATGGCTCCGCAGCCCCTCCCTAACCCGTGATGCAAACCTTGCAAAATCCCTTGGGCTGAAGTGGCGTATCCGGGGGGTGCGATGCGGCCGACGTAGCTGGTACAAGCTGCCCAAACTGCAGCGTGAGTTACTCCTTGTAAAATCTCGAGGGGAAGGACCAGCCATGGATTTTCGAGAAACGAAATGTAAATAAAGCGAAGGAAATTCCCAAAGAGGCCAATGTACAGCACGCGTATGTGACCGACAAAGCATATTAAGCGACCGACGTTGAAATAACAAGCGATTTCCGAAATGTGATCGATCAACGAAGCTATTCCGAACAAAGTCGGTGGGCCTCCGAGGTCCTCGAGATGCCAGAAGAGAAACGTGAAAATAAGGCCAACTCCGAAACCCAGGAAGAAGGTCACGACAAAAAAAGTGCCGTATCGAAATGAAAAGAGAATGCGATATAATCCCGTTCCTTTCTGTTGTTGCGAGTCGCTCAGTTCAGAAGTTTCTTTGTTTGGGAAAGAAAAACGGGTGGCCACAGTTAACGCGCATACCATGAAAACAAAAAAGAAATAGAAACCAACAGTGTAGTTCTGGCTAATTATCTCTCCGCACACCTCTACTCCTTTGATGCTGTCTATGACAAATCCAAGAAGGAACATGGCGGCACCCCACCCTAGGCTCCCCCACATTCGTTGTCGGCCGTACAGTTCTTTGTTTTCTCCAAGCAAACCAAGGGTCGCTGAGTCGGCAAGGGTTATAGCTGGAGCCGAGAAAAACTCTCCTACTACAGTCAAAAACAGAAGGACTAAAAAAACTTGGTGAACGCCTTCACGATCAAAGACCAAGGAACTTTTGGCTTTGAATTCGGGCTCTTTTTTGTCCGGAGTATTGGGTGCTAAGAAGTCTTTTATCTCGGAAGTTTCACCCGTCACGATCTGCGAGACGTTTTCTGTGAGAATAAAATATTTCCTACATGTTACGGGTGCCGGCTTTATGAACGCCAGAGAGAAATTAAAAGATATCCAACAAGCCAGCGAAAATAACATCAACAGCTTTCGTTTGTTAAGTCTATCGGCCAAGGATCCCAGAAGAGGGGCGCTGAAAAACTCCACCATCGGACGGCAGCCGACTAGAATGCCGCTTAGATATGGATTCATTCCTAGCTGCTTGAAATATACTCCCAGAAGCGGGAAAAAAGAGCCAACAGCTCCCCAATAACAAAAGTAAAACACTTTCGACACCAGTAGCTTCCTGTTCAGGCTCCTAAAATTGAAACAAAGTAATTTCGTCCTCATGTCTTCGTCGTCTTCTTGTTTTTCAGGCAAAACTTTTTCGGTCGCCATTGCGAGCGTAGCGCTAGATTCATGTTCCTTAAAGAAGCATAAGTTTCCAGGTGAACGTGGTCTTTTAAAACAAAAGAACCCCAGCAAACTTTTTAATATTTAAACCTTAGGAGCCATCTTTACAAGTACCGGTACCGAGTGAAACTGTATCATAACCTTACTGTGGCTCTATTGTCCGTTCAAAATTGACCAAGAAAGGATTTGAAACCCCCGGGGGGAGGTACTCAACAAAGTTTTATACGGCCCGAGGCCCGCCCCGAGGTCCAAGCCCTTAATTACCAGTTTTATACCCTGCAACTTTGATAAAAAGGGTATACCTTTCATATACCTTTTACTGAAAAAAGATACACTTACCTAGTTAAGAACTTCCCGTCACTTTAACTGCTGTAAATTCACTGTCACCGAATAAGTCACAAAACCAGAAAGTTTTCTCGACTTCGTAACAGCCATAAAATGTATCTGTTAGTCCTTTTGGGACTTTTAGGGACTTTTGAAATGAGCTTCTACGGTGGTGCAAAAACGCACTTTGAGAACGGAACTGGAACCGAAATGTGTCCCTCACTTTTTGCCTGAATTTCTTCTTTTGTCCGATTCCTTGTCCGATTGTCTTGTCAAAGTTTTAGTTCGATTTTTGTCCGATTTTCTTGTTCGATTTTTAGTCCAATTTTTTCTCCGATCTTCTTCTCCTTCTTTATGTTCGATCTTTTGTCCGATTTCTTGTCCGATTTTCTGGCCCCATTTCTTGTTCGATTTTTTTTGTCTTATTTTTAATACAAATTTCTGTCTGATATTTTGTGCAATTTCCTGTCCGATTTTTGTCCAATTTTTTGTCTGACCTTTTTGTCCCATATTATTGTCCGATTTCTTGTCGGATATTTTGTCCTATTTTCTTGTCCGATTTTCTGTCGGATTTGTTCGCCCGATTTGAATTTTTCGGTGATCGAAAACGGCGTGAGCGTGTGTGAACGGAAGGCTTTAAACGGATAATGCAAATCTCTGATCATAAAAATATCCGCCGGATACTTGTGGACCGGCCCTAAATACCAGATCACGACTGGGTTCGGCATGCTGTTAGAGAACCCTCTTTAGCCCTGAAAACAATACGGAATGAAAGCAAAGAGCCTGGCATTTTCTGAGGAAGACTTTTTCCAAGGTGTCCTTTGTACGGGTCTGTACCCAACAAAATGCGTGGATGATACCTTCTGCACATCCAGATTTTGTAAAGCGTCTCCACAGATTAGAATTTGAGTATGGATTGTTTAGATTCATAAACCCTTTTCATATTTTTGAAAAGCGTTGCAAAATCCAGATTCGAGAATCCGAAATAATGTAACAGTCAATACCAAAACCGCCCATCCCCCACGGTGGGCATACCCCGGGCATTTGACTGGAGTTTGCTCCCTACAGTGGGGACTTTGACCCAAAATGGGGCCACCAAGTCGGGCATTTGACGTTCGTGACAAAACACTTTTCAGCGTCGCAAGCAAAGATTTTAGTAATTCTTTCCACATTTAGCATGTGCACGAGCCTGCGAGCAAACTCTCAGGGGCGCTCTGGCAGCGGGGCGTAGTTACAAGCTCTCCTTCTTTTTCCCGCCCCGCGGCCAGACAGCCCCGGAGGGCTTGCTCGCGGGCCACATGTGCACCGGGTCCACAGGTCATTGCTCCTGTATTTACTGTTTTTTTGGGAGCATTTGAGAGCCTTTGAAAAAGCCCCTTAAATGTGGGCTTTCTGGAATACACAATTTTAGCGGAATGATCAAACCTCTCTAAGACAGCTTTCCGAGACTTCAGACATTTCGGTTGTGTTTAGTAGGATATTTACATTTGAATAAACCGTTTGACGCATGGGAAAATTTTTCAATAGTTGCTAGTGGGTGGGGGATTTGACGCTTTTTGAAGCGCTAGCCGGTGGGACATTTGACCATCTAAACTGCCCACATACCGGGGAATTTGACCAAAATTTTTCAAAAGTCAAATGCCCGGACGGGGCGGGGAGGGCATGGGCGGTTTTGGAATTGACTGGTACATAATTGCTTTCCTCGAAGAACCACGCCTTAACAGTGAAGTTGGCATTATTGGCAAAAACATTACTATTGTGCTGTAAGTAGCATTTTCTGATATTTATGCTCTTCAAGCCAATACCTCTCCTATTACATAGTAGTCAGATACATTGAAAATAGACTACGACCAGTCTCTCTTTTTTCTTGGTCCGTCGAGCAAAACGCGCGACACACGCAAATAACCACGCACGTGACTGAAGGTGAGGCTCAACGCTTGCGCGCGCATGCACTCCCCTCATTAAATCTGAAGAAAAAGAGAGACTGTTCATTGAAAACAACAAGGACGTTAAAAACCCTAAACAAGGACTATACAAAAATCAAAACCTCCATTTGCAGCCTCTTGCAAACGACCCCTCTTAGGGAGCAATCATCTATCCTTAAAAATGTCAAAATTCAAAATTTTCCAGTGGGGGAAGTTGTCGTTTGACCAGATTCATCATCTTCAATTGCAACCTCTTGGAGATTTTGCCGAAAACCACGTTTTCCAGTGAGTGGTTTTCTGGTCACTGTCGTGCTATAAAGAGACAACCTGTAACCCTTTAAACCTCAAAGTCAAAATTCAAATTTTTGTTTGTTTTCCCCATACATTTCTTGTAGAGCTATAGTGGGGAGAAGTTGTCGAAGTTTCGACCAGATTCATCTTCTGTGATCACTTCCTTAATTCTCATTACCAATCTGTTTTATAAAGCGTTGATTTTAAAAGGAGAATTTAAATGTTGATCCTTCTCAGGGCTTAAAGGGTTTAAGGATGATGGTTTTTATTACCAATCTGTTTTTCCATTGATTTGTTTTAAATGTTGATCCTTCTCAGGGCTTAAAGGGTTTACGGATGATAGTTTTATAACTTTCCCGTTGTTTTTAACCTCTTGTAAACGACCACTTGAAGTACGGTCTGATCTCTATGTTCGCTGTATCTACTGTGCTGCTTACAGTATACAAAGAATGTTGGTGACAATGACATGGAACTAAACATATCCTGACTTAGAAATTCAATGAAATAAATTGTCTTCAATAAAGTGGATGAGTCCGGACCTCATCTCAGTAGAAACCCCCAGTAATTCGATTCTCGTAAGCAACTGCATCCCATAAAGATGAGGAAGTCCTGACATTTTGGATTGTTGCTAATGGGAGGTTTGACTGTATTATACAATTTAACAGAGAATTAGAACATTAGGATGTTATAACATGTGCTAAGACACCGAATGCAAAGGTCATGAAAACAAGGATGATTACAGATGCCGCACTGAAAAGATGTCTGTAGTAAAAAAATCCATACCAACAAAGCGTCAGAATTATTGCTAATATGGGAAGAAATAACTTAGACAAGTCCAAATCGGCTTCTTGGTGATAAGTTGTGGATTGTTCGTTCTCATCTGTTCTTCTTACGTCAGAAATCTGAGCATGAAGTACTGAATAGTTCTCAATGCCATAAAAGGAGATAGGGGCCATGTCATCTTGCAGTAAGCGCCCACTGTATATAAGACGTACCCTTTGTCCACTGTTTAATTCATTCCGAAAGCACAATCTGCAGTGGAAGTAAGATAAGATACACAAATACATTAAAATAGCTTGCGCACTTTGTAATATTATTTAAAAAAATATGAATACAACATAAATAAAATGTAGGATTTTTCCTGGACTTTACAAGGACTCAGGTATATTTTTCAGGATTAAAAAAATTGTGGTTTGCTTTTTAGAATTCTTCCTTGGATGAACTGGAATTTTCTATCTACCTTTACTACTTAATGCCCGAGTACAAAACTTTCCAGTACTTTTCAGGGCCTGCCAAAATTTTGCTTGACTTTTTAGTCCCGGAAAATGCCAGAAAAACGGGTGACTGGCAACCCTCCCCTCCCCAAGTCCGCCCTACCTTCTGAGCAATGTTACCTTTGTTTGCTAGAAACAGAACAAAATGTAATTCTTGTAAAATTATGATCTGCTAACACGACTTTTCACAGCCACTTGTCAAACTAAAAGGATGTTAAAACTGACATTTTTTAAACTACGATCCTGGCCAAAAGGTTTTGGGACACATCCCCTTTTTCACGTGTTTTTTTTTAATGGAATTTACAGCTAACCTGCGATACACACTCATAAAGATGGCCTTACCAAGATTTTTCCTCCACCCCCCCTGAAAAAAGTGAAGGTCCTTGACGTATGCAAAATATGCACAAAGTGTTTGACATGCAATACCCAGGGGGGAAGGGGGGTCAACTTGAATTACATTTTCCTCACCTGAAACAAAAATTGTCCCAAGTGTTTTGACCAGGATTGTAGATATATTAGATAAAACTGCAAGGTGTATCTGGTTATCAAGCTACTGCAAATACCTTTTCAAATCTCCTACTTTTATTGTCCTATTTACTGATAAAGTTCTCTCATTCTCCATGAATTTAACCCGGATTGATATGCTCTCTCCTGGGGTGCTACTTGTATTAGGGCTGTGTGAGTCTGGCATGCTTTCATCCCCTCGCCAGCGCACACCATCTGTAGTACTGTCCATCTGAGGAATGCTTGCATTATTAACTTGCTCTGACGTAGCTTCAGTATCATTTTGGAGTGGTTCACTGCCTGTTGGGTTTGCATCTATCATTGAACAACAAGAGAACATTTTAGTTCATTCTTGTGAATGAGAAAATTGGAACTGAAATGACTGTCTTAAAGATTGCAGGAGTCCTTAAACTACAGCTCCTTACCTCTATATCTGTTTTGTTTTTCTGCAATTTTTGTTAAAAGAACCCTGACTCACTGAAAAGTGAAGCTAATCGGTAGAGAGCCACCTTAAATGGGATAGGTCACGTAACTTTAGTCAATTTGAAAGGCTAACCACTGGGTAAAGAGTTCACTGACACACAAAAATAACATTGAATAATGAAATAAAAAAAAGAAAAATACAAAAACAAAACAAAAGGGAGTCATAAATATGCAAAATTGGACTGAAACCCCTCCCCCCGGGGGGCTGGAGCTAATGGGGATGTGCCGCTGGATGGGGTTGCATTTTTATGACTGGATTGACTATAATGGGGTCTCATTTTCAATAGAGTTACTAGAATGGGGTCGCACATTTTCGGAGTTTTGAGGTAAGAAAGTTCTTCATATTTACAGGTAGCAAACGTACCAGAATGTTTGTGCTGTAGGTGAAACATTAAGTGTTCTTCATTCAATTTAAAAAATGGCTCAATTCATTTTGGGATGATCTATTTAAAGGATTGAAGAGGTAGATACATAAATAGAAAGTGACTAAGTTGTGATCCCAAAAATTACATTTGCCCAAAAGCTAAGTGACTATGATGAGGTCTATAATTGGCCACAGAGTAGCCTATAATGGGGTAGGGGTTCTGAGAGGCCAGTGGCACATACCCAGCAAAAATTAACCAATGTAAGTATGTTAGTATGTTAAGGTATGTTAGTTCAGGGAACTTGGTTGGGAATTCCCTGGTTGGGACTTGTCTCACTTTGCCAAATTTGGGATTTTTATGGGTATTCTTTAAACACCCTAAAATATCCAAAAATGGGAATCCGTTATTTTTTCCTGTGTTGTAGAACTGTGTGTCACTAACATTGGACTTGTAAGCAAGATTCGCAAAACTAACGGGTCCTGGGGGGATACGAAGAACAAAGTACATAAATAATAAAAGACGATACAAGCCTTATGCAATACATTATTGACATTTTCCTAGGCAGCTGTTTAGCCTACCTGGTCCATTCGATGAACCTCCTTCCGAGTTTTCCTCAGATGGTGAAGAATGCACAGAGCCTGATGCTGTGTCAGGAACATTCTGTCCAGCATTTAAGTTAAGGCTTGGGCCTGAGATTCTATTCGAGTTATAAAGGAAATGGACCAAAAATATTGCCACAAATGCCACGAACACAGCAAGAACAAAGAGAACTTCGTTGTCGATTCCTTCGATAATAGAAGCAGCCATTTGCGAGGGAGACTATTTCCACGGCTGTTTACGTTTAAAAAGACATCGAAATATAAATGACAGAGTTATCCATCAAGTTGATCCGTTTAAGCCCAAATTACGGAAAATCCGCGGATCTTCTTCGTGCAGGTGTGGAAATGAAAGACATCCTTCTTGGTGCAACGACACTTCAATGCCATTACATGACAATCCTTTAAAAATGAGATTGATGACTGCCCATTTACGGCAGGCTCAAGAGGAGTGGTGTGCAATCTGTGCAAAAATTTTTCTTGATCAAGATTAGAACGTCAGCCGGCGAGTGCAGGTGAGATTTATCGCTTAGCGATTGAATTAAGTACTTTTAGACAACCATCAATAGTTAACAAAGAAACGAGAAACAGTTGGTTGTTTTTAAAACACTTTATAGCTGGAAAATCTTCACTGGCTGAATTTGATCCGGAAACGGGGCTGTTTTGGGAATGTTATTGAGCGATCCCTTCGGAATTTTTCTTAAATATAGTCTGCACGCATAATGTGACAATTTCACGAAGCTAAGGCCGAATTCCTCACCCCTGACAACAAATACTTGGCAAGCTAAAGCGCTATAAGTAGGATAAATGTTCTTGATCAGAGATGTGGTCTCTGGAGACCCCACACTGTCAACTACCCTGGGGAGGGGAGTGACCCACTACACCCCGGCGTACACACCGGCAGGCTGTTGTGGAACCAGAGTCGTCCCCGGGCCAGTTGGTGGGGGAAGCGTTGCGAATTCTCCTGACTAAGCTTACAGGTGACATCGCATCCAAAATCACTGAGGATCATGATCGGGGAGAAGGCTGATGTGGAGTATTGTACAGTAGACTTCATTAAACAGGATTTAGTTTCACCTGTCTACAAGACCTTAGCCTATGTAGCAGGTATTCAAAAGGGAAGGGAGTGTGTGAGAAGTGCGAAGAATGGACAAGGGGATTTCCTCTTCTCACTTCTTCCTCGCACACGTGTACCCAAATTCCCTTTCCCCTCCTGTTTGAACACTTGTCACGCAGGCTAACAAGTTATTTATATACTGTTTTGTACTATTCGACAGACTTGATTTCACCAGAGTGTAATATATTCAGCTTCGTATCATGAATGTAGAACATGAAGTGAACTTATTGGTCCAGGAAATCAAGCGCCTAGGTGCACCCAATGCTGATGGACAGGTGTCAGTCAAGTTTGGAGTGCTGTTTAATGACGATCGTTGTGCAAACATATTTGAAGGTATAAATTCTCTTACTGATGGTCAAGTTGCTTATTACTGGTGAGCCCAGTCCTCCTAATGACCAAACATAAAAACTAATTGCAATATTATCATTAACATAAGAATTTCAAAACATCATGTTCTTATGGTGCTTATGCTTACATCAAGATTATTTCCATTGAGGAGTAGTCTCCAGTCAGGTTCATGCCAGGCTCCCCACTCCCCACCTTGTGGGGATGAGGAGCATTGCATGGGCAGCTACGAAGGAAACTAAGCAAGGACAAGTTCAACAAAATGCATAAGCTCAAGCTTAGTAGCAACACTCTGTATGCTTTTGCACCTTAGGTTTATCACAAGAGTTGGTATCCCTGTGCTGATGACCAGTTCGAACACTTTCCAAATTTTAAGGACTCTCAAGAGTCTGTCTTCTCGTGTCATTTCTCTCATGTTCGTAAACCTGCACAACTTTCAGCAACTGAAAAATGTCCACACTTAATTTTCATTCCCATATAAATCACCAAATGGGTTTTGTTTTTATTGCAGCCCTTGTGGGAACCCTCAAAGCGGCTAAGAGAAAGAAGATAGTGAACTACAGTGGTGAATTACTTCTTCAAGGTGTACATGACAATGTGGACATTGTGCTGTTAAAAGATGAATGATCAGACATTTGCATTTAAATTTTACACATTACAGACTGATTAAAAGTTTTGCAATATTTAGATTGAATATCAATATTTCACAATTTTTGTAACTCTTTGTAGTTAATGCATAAGAGAAGCAAATAAACTATATTTTATAGAAGGATAACAAAGTGTTGTGAAGTACATGGGATATAAACTGAAGGGATGGCCTCAAAAAACGTTTTAGTGACTATTGAGGAACTGCTGTTTTCTTCTTCCCCATTGTCTGTATTGACATGTGAAGCAAGGGATTAATTCAAGAGTTAGTAACTCGGTGCCCTTTTTCTATGCAACTCTTCATAATGAGTTATGCTCATCGAAGAAAGTTTCAAATATGGCTGCCTCCCATGAGTATCGTGGGATCACCTGAAGTGTGGTGGGCCAAGTTTACTGGGAACTCCTTAATGAACTGAAGTTACACATCCTCTAGGGCGGACATGACGCCAACAAACAAATCAACCAAATTGAGTTAAAAAACTAAGAAATCAGAATAGGACCAGAAGTCAGGTATAAATGTCTGTTAGAATCATTATGACAAACATTGCCTGTTCAAGGCATCTAGATGTTGGGGAACAAGTTAATCATATGTGCCTGCACTCTACAGAATGCCTGGAACAGGCTTGAAAGATTAAGAACTTCTAGTTTAACTCCTAACATTAGCGTGTATACTCTCCATGCTTTGCTCATGGTTGCATTTCCTGTACCTGGCAATGATTAGGACAATATTATTGATTTATTAAACAAAACCTCCTTCAGTGATCAGTTGTCTTATTCTCAAAACTTTTCATTTGACTCAGAAGTGATATTATTAGAAGTAATTAGCATCTGGTCATTGTTAGGTCTTAAATTTTAAATAACATTCTATGCAAGTTGCTTTAGCAATCAAAAATAACATTTTATTATAAATTTTATTCAACAGTGCTTAGACAGTGCCTACATTCTGCTCACATCTATCCTTGCTTGTCCAACTGTGTTTTCCCTCTCCCTGGTTTTTCCCCAGGAGAGAAGCAACAGCCAGAAATATGCCTGTGTTTGAAGGCTAATCTTAAGGTTTCATTAAATAATATTACTATAACAATATTTGATATTTTTCCTCCTGGGCAATACACAGTAAATTGAAATAACTTAGTTTCTATAACAGCATGATTTTAAATGCACTAATTTAATGGCTGCAGCTGCCAGATTGGAATTCATATTTTGTTTCCCTGTACTACTATTCAGCTAGAGTGTTAAAGAAAATAAAATTATTGGTACTGGCATCGATAAACACTCTTCAAGCACACACTTCCTTCTGGTTTTAGAATGCGCCATCATAAGAAAAATGTAGCAAACATTTAACAAGTGTTCAACACCAGTTGTGAAAAATGGCTATCTCCAGTTTCAATGAATAAATTATAGGACCACATGCACCAAAAAGCAGAAAAACGCTGAATTTCCGAAGAAAGTCTACTTGCTCTAGCTGCCCCATAAGGATTTCAACGATAGCTAATACTTGAACTTCTCTAAAAGAAGGGCACACCCCCCAAAAATGGACCATGAAATAGAGGTGATCCGTCACTTTTCTCCAGTTGTTTTTAAATTTGCTGTGTTTAGGGGGACACATCTGCCGGGAGGGGGAACCCACATGACAGGGGTAGGGATGCTCGTTGTTTAAATTTAGAAATTTGGTCTTACTTAGGGTGTCCGGGGCAAAAAGCCATCATATTTAGCCATAAAGGTCTCCTTTAGGGTTGCAAGCCAAGTAATAAATATAAAAATATAATTTCAAAAAAAATTATAATCAATTTTAAAATTCTTTTATTGCCACACCAGATTGGTCTCCTTTATTTAATCAAAGTTTAAAATGGTCTCTTCTTATGATCCCTTTTGGGGACACATCTCTATGAAAAACTTAGGGCCATGCCCCCATTAAGTCCCAATATGGGGGTTTAGACTTATTCAAACTAGTTGAGAGAATTTGATAAAAGATCAAAAATCCCCACCCATTTTTTAATATAGGAGTCTTTCCTTGGGACACATGGATCTGTTAAAGAAAATTAAGTTGGTACCACTCATCCACTAATAAGAGCAAATTGACTATATTTTTTGTTGTATACTGCTGTATTATCCCAACCCTCGTTAATATCAGCACCCTATTAATCTAGTGCTCCATCTGTAGTTTGATGTAAATGAGTTTAACTATCCTCCAGTCTCAAATGGAAATGGAAATCTATGAAGCTGGCAGTCAAACCCCAAGGGGAAGTATAGATCTTAGAGAGGAACATCTCTGATTCTAGCCTAAAATATCCTGGCAGCCATGCATAGGAACCAAAAATTTATATACAATATGGCATTTGTGGTCCTACAAAGTGCTCATTCATTGAAAGGGGTAAGCGAGTTTACGATGATCATGTGACCCTTAACTCCTGAGACCAGCCTGGTGGCTTACAGTCGTAAGTGAACTGAAGTTCTTCAAAACTGCAGCTTGCTTCTGCAGCTCTACTCTCCTTTGGTTCCAACTCTAAGTTGTCACTGTAAGGATTTTCAAGTAGCTTTAGGAGTTGCTGAACCTGAAATAGTGAAATATGAGCATCAAAAAAAGGAGCAAGCCAATAGATTAGACATAGAGAGGAAACTATTCTCAGAATCCTTTTGAATGCTGACGACTATGTTAAAATATCAAAAATATGTCTTATCTTCAACAATTTGTGCTAACGGACACTTACATTTACCTAATAATTGAAACGAAGTAACGGTCTTTAGTTCTGTCTATTTATATAATAATATAGTTTATTTTAAGATACTGCTTTAGTATGCTTAATATCAGAAACGGTGACAGAGGCCACAAACCGGTACCGATTTTGAACCATTAGAAAATTAACTGGGTACATTTCCGATAACTGGGTCTGGATAACTGGATAACATTTCTGGATAACTGACGGGATATTTGGACGCATTCCCTTAGTTGGCTGTTATTGCTACAATTAGAGTTGTAGTATATTCCACCCTTTCTGTTTCCTTTTTCCTCAGCCACCTAGATTAGTTCATAACTATATTTGTGGCTGGAGCTTCTCTGTAATTTATTATGAACTAAAATAATAATAAATTTTGTTGTTGTTGCTATAAATTACCTCTGAAAAGTCTCCTTTTTCTGCTGCAGAAATGGCATTTTGTGCAATGTAGTTTCTGAGAATGAACCTAAACAAAATACAAGCAAATGGTCATACTTTGTGAAATTTTATTTTTTTTTATCAGTAGTACATATGACTTAGCTTTGAATATTATTTATGTATCTACCTTGGGTTACTGGATTTCATAGCTTTAACCCTTTCCATGCTGGCCTGAAAGATGAAAGTGTAAAAATTCTAAAAAATATATACAATAAATTATTTCACCTTAACAGAAACTGCAAGTTTGACTGAATACAGACCCTCTATAGAATAAATTTGGTAAAATCATTTTTATAAGTAATGTATCTTTAACAACTGCTGTATTTTTATTTTAAAAAACTATAAATATAATGAATGATTATTATGATATAAATGATTAAATTTTATTAATTGACACTAGGAAAACATACCATCTCTTGATCCTGCACAGTTTGAAAATCAGCATTTAGTCTGGACCTGAAAAATACCGTAAAATTCCGAAAATAAGCCCCTCTGTTAAATCGCCCCTCCAAATATAAGTCCCCCGGGGGGCTTGTACTTGGAAATTGCCCTCAAATACAAAGTAAAACAAGGCAAAAACGGTAAATTTCCTTCCATTTACAAGGCTAGCCCAATCGATTTTGAAATGCAAATTTCCCTCTGTAGATAAGCCCTTCCGAATACAAGCCCCTCCAAAAATAAGCCCCTCAAAAAGGGCCTTTGAAAAATATAAGCCCCGGGGCTTATTTTCGGAATTTTACCGTCATAGTTAATTTGACAAAATTTTTAATGCCAAAAAGCTCAACTAGCATAAAGATGGAAATAGTTTTGTTGCTTCACCTATATTTTTCAATCCATTCTTGCCACAATTTTCTATCTTCTGCTCTTTTCTCCTCTGGCTTTAACTCCTGCAAAATGGACGTTTACTAGTAAACAGTTGTGCATTGACAGAGAACCTTTAAACAGGTGTTAGGTACTATACTAGAAACTTACAGACAACGAAGATGTGCTATATTTGGGTCTTAAATCGGTGAGCCAGATGTGTCTTAAAAAGGTGTCTGCTCAATTCACTGTTTGCATATCTCCCATTATACCTGGTTTGCCCCCGGGAAATTTTGCATAACCATTTCTCTTGAGTATTACAAACATCCCAAGAAAAACTGAAGACAATGCTTAAATGGAAAATGTTGGGGGGCAAACAAGGTGTATTATGGGAGATGTGCAAAATACTAGAGAAAATTATGGTAGTGTCTGTTTTAAAAGGATTGCACTGTTACTATGAAAAACAATAGTAAAAACCTTCATGTGACATGTGCTTGCAACCATCTTGTACACTAGGAAAATAAGGAAAATAATGAGGAAAATATCTATCTTACATTCATTTTCTCCACTTTCTCTCTCCTTTCCAGTTCTTTCTGAATCAACGTTGCTCCTCCTCCCAGCTGTTCCAGGAGACTGGGGCTATTCTGAAGTAACATCATCAGCATCTGGAACTCTCTAAGATGGAGCAGAATCATAAATTATATTGAATTTAAGATTCAGACACTGACTCCCACCTACATCA